ATTCTTTTTCCAGAAGACATGAATAGTGTTATACTTCAGCCGTGAAAATGGTCTCAATTCTTGTCTTTGTTTTGTACCTACATAGATTCTTTTTTTCACAATCTTCTATCATGTTTTTTGGTTCATCCTATTACAGGTTTAATGTTCTATTGCAGGTTTGTGGTCATTTTTGTTATTTAGTGTTTTTATAGGCTAAGTGGACTATTTTAACGGGATTTTTATCTCCCAAGGGTCCTCTAAGTCATGTGGAAGAAAAAGTGAGAATAAGCGAAGAAAAATTATACACCATGTGAGGTCACTAGTGTTGGGGGGTCAATGATGAGAATTGATTTACATATTTTGAGTAGTTTGAGGGTTAATTTGTATCGTTTGAGTATTTATTTACACATTTTTTAATTTAGTGGTTCATGTATTAATTTAGAACAAGTTTAAGGGTTTAATAGGAAATTTTGTTATAAATATATAAATTATCTCAGTATATTTTTATCTTAAAGTTTATTTCATATAATCATTTGTAATTATTAATTTCATTTAATTTAACTATTAATAATTATTATTAATGATAAATTAATTGTTAATATTTATTATTAATAATAATTTAAATAATTTTATTTATTCAATTCGATAAAATTACTAATAATTAATTTTAAATACTAAATTTTAAATAACTATATTAAATCACTTTTAAAAGGAAGTACTAAAAAAATGTAATCATTTTTATCTTATCCCATCGCTATCTAGAGGTCCTTCCCATTCAAAACTCTCATCCTAAGAGCACCTCCACCAACCACGTTGTCCCTTTATTAATATCTGATGAATTACTCTAGTTTAAAAGGAAGTCAGAATTAAATGCAACCAAGCCAAATTCTCTTCGGTTTATCATTGCCCACCTAGCATCAACGATTCTGTTGATATAAGTAGAGAAAACTTAATTTTTTTTAAATAAAATTTTAAATTTAAGTTTTATAAATAAAAAAATAGATACTAAGAAAACTTTTCTTAATAAAATCTGATGCGATTCAATTTTGAATTAATCAAATTTAATGTAATTACCAAATATGGAGAGATTAATAATTAAAAAAAAAAATCATTGCCTACCTAACCTTCCCTTCCCTCTCACCTTCTTGTCATTGGGGCCAATCTCCACCTTCACCATCGCTCTCCACCTTACTCTTACAACTGAAACTCCCATTGTCCAGTGTCTAAGCACCACAAGAGATCCTTCTGTCTCTGTAACATCTCTCTTCACTCCCATAGAAACCCAAACAGGGCCTAAACGTTCAAGTCCTTAATAGCAAACATTATGCTAATAAATAATAATTAGCAATACCATATTTTAAGCCCTCAAACTTTATATAAATCATTCTTAAGCTCCTTAAACTCTTCAACTTTAAAAACTGAGGACGCTGCCTTTCTCTACGCCAAACATGTCAGTGGGAACCAATTTCTCAGTGCGGACAAGCTCCGTCAAAATTACCCAACGCCTGCTTTCCTCTTCCCTGCTGTCAATCTCAAAGGACATAGAGCTCGTTGGAGCCCTGACTGCTTCTCCTAAATCAAGCTTCTTGTTTCTCTCAAGAAGTGATGTCTCATATGAAGACGAGTGCCTCATTGCAGTCAACTAGCCTCAGGGGGGGATTTACTGTGAGAACCTGTTGGGATCATTTCCTCGGCTTCTCAACGACTCGGGCAAAGTCATATCAACGCAGGGAAGTTCGTTTATACTGTTTTAAGGTTTCTATATGGATTTCATTTTGTGGATCTTTTTGAATGTCGCAATTTTTGGTTCCGCTTATCATCTGAAGCTTTGATTTTTATTTTTATTTTTGTTTTTTTACCAACATGAAAGGAAAAATTAACATTAGAATAGAGAAGAACCAGTTGGTATCTGTTAGTTTTTAATTACTTTGTAGCTTAGTTGAGTTTAGCAGTTTGCTTTACTTTCCAGAGAATGGAAACGGAGGGCCATATAAATGTTTGAAGTTGAAGCTTTAACCTTGCAGAGGCTTTAATCAAAATTGTCATCTGAAAGCTTGAGTTTGTTAGTTGGCAGCTAGTTTGGTTACCTTTTTAAAATTTAAGAGATCATTACTGTGTAATTTATGAATAAATCTCGCAAAGTGAACTATTTGAGTGGCTGATTTAGTTGGTAGTGAAGGACAGAACCTCTTTAGTGGTATTAAATACTGGGTTGAGTCGATAATGTTCTTCTCATCATTTAGCAAAGGTCCTGACTTCCAGACTAAATTCTTTTAAATGTTAAGAAAGATTATAAATCAATTTGGCCTAGTGGTTAATCCTTAAACGTTTTTTAGGTCTTTATATCTCTTACATAACATGTATGAGAACAATGGGTTGATTTTTATTATTCAAAATGAGATTTTCATTCATCATGTGGAGGAAGGACTATCATAAACTATTTTTTGTTCACCATGGTTCATTTACTCTGTATCAAGTTTCTTAAACTCTGCATTTTCATTTGATGAGCCAAAATTAAATAGCTGTCTTTTTGATCTAGCTGAGTACTTCTCATTCCTTTTAAGTATTTAGACATTTTTCAAATTCGAGCTCTGGGGCTGCAGTCAGTCCACATTGGGGCTCCATTTTCCTAATTGACTTGATCATGACACAAGTGGTCTGATGATTTTGACCAAGTCACACAAAGTAGCTTCTAAGCTTGTGCAAGCCTTTACTAATCACTGGGCTTGTAAATCATA